TTCTGCTCGAGCCCAGGGCCAAACTTGTCCTGCCAGCTCTCGAAGTTCTCGCTATTGACATCAAGATCAGATCGGTAGTTGAAGACGGAGGACACAACATTGCCGACCAGATCCTCTAGTGTTTCGTTCTTGGTCTCAAGCACACGTGGTACACCCGCGGCAGCTTCAGAGAATTTTCGGTTCAAGATCTCTGTAGTTTCGAAGGCGCGGTAGCGGTCGGCAGCCGCGTGATCAATCTCTTGCGGGAATAGCAGCTTGTACAGATCGTAGCCGAGCAAGATGGTGCCTCCGCCGTTGGCTGAAACGTCTACCACGAGCTTCTTCTTCCCGGCGGACTTGGCCTGGGCAAGGAACTTGGCAGCAGTATCTTGGAACCCTACCTGTGCGTCGTTAATTCCGACGAAAGATGGCACGGAAAGTACGGCAACGTCTGAGTAGTCACCCTCGAGGAAGTAGCCACCAATCAAGTTGTGTGCTTCACGAAGGACTGGAGGCGGGTATCCTGGCGCAGGGATGGTTGGAAGAGGCGTAGCGGAGGTAGTGGCTGAGGGTGTAGGTGTAGCCGAGGTAGTGTTGGAAGCTTCGGTTTCGCTTCCAGGCTGGTTGCCCGTGAACCAGAGCTTGTAGAGGCTCTCTCCGTCGGTAATACCGTCGAAGGGGATCAGAACCTTGGCGAAGTTGTCATAAGTTCGGCTGGTACCGTTTTCAAACGTAAGCTCGGTGGTAGGACCAGGGTAAATCCAGCGACCGCGGCCCGATCCCGCGAAGGTTCCAATACCAGATCCAACCGGGCCGAGAGATACAGTGGCGAGCTCGTAGAAGACGTTGTTGTACAACGCGTCTCGGTCCTGGAGGGAACCGTACTGAGCCCAGTTCTCCAGGAAGTCCTTGGCATCCTCGCCATCGATGTGGGTAATGGGCGAAGGCGTGAACGTAGCATTGCCGAAAGATTCGGCCAAGACATCGGCATAGACGTAAGGCCGGGGAAGCTCCTTTCCGTCGCTCGAAACGGAAACGAGTGGTACAGGACGGGCGAAGTTGAAAACCGTGCCGACTACATCGGGGACGTACACAAAGTGACCGTCATGGGTGCTTTGCAAGAGGGTGTAGAGCTCGAAACCGAACTGTTCTGAATCAGTTCATATTCTTCATAACGAGGAGAGAGACACCTTACTTCGTACTCGTTCTTGTACTCTCCTCCCTTGACCTTTTCCCTGATTTCCTCGAGTTCGCCCCAGATATCAACCGCTGGCTGCACCTTCTCGGCGTATTCAGCTGGAGGGTCTTTCAACCAGACGGTGTTACTTTGCCATTTGAAGTATGGAACGACACCGTCTACCAGGGCAAGAGCAGCGCTCTGGTTGAATGGGACGGAGTTGATGCAGTCCCATGCGAGTTCGGCGGGTACAGTTGCGGTACCTGCAGTGATATTCTTGCCTACAATCGCGGTGCCGACTTGTGCGCAGGGACTAGTCGCGTTGTAGTGCCGCGTATGAATGTGAGGTGCGACAGGCGACGATAGCGCGACTGAGGCTAGCGAGAGACCCGCAACGGCATTGAAGAGGGAAGCCATGCTTTCAACCCAGACAACACGACAGGAACTGGAGGCAAAGATCTCAGGTTCGCCGTACCCTCGCTGCAGTCGCACGAGCTATACCACTTTATAGCTGCACAGCTTGAACCGCGGACCAGGTAGCGAACTTGCGCGTTCCCGAGAAAGAAGACATCATAGCTGCAGGAGCTACCCTGTACTTGTCATTGCTAGACCCATGTAAAACAAGGCAAAGGACGGTCGGGCGAATAGGCGAGGCGGATATGATAGGGAACTAGATTAAGAGCATGCATGCACGTATGCTCGAAGAGGAAGGCCGTGGTGTGCTTGGTGCTCTGAACGATTGACGATCGTATCCCGAACGGCATTGGGGGTTCAGGGCAACACAGGTACCCAAGGACCCAGGGTCGCTTTGATGGTAGAGTGCCCACAATTATGGATGCATCTCGGTGCAATGGTAATGAAGCGCTTGTTTCTTACATTACTAGGTAAGAGATTGGACAGTCGGCCGCTGTAACACTGACCGCGAAGCTTCGTGGAGTTGTCGAAGCTTCACAAGCCTCAGGCGCTAGCCCGCCTTTCTACGCTAGATTAGGCAGGCGCAAAGTGCGCGGTGCCGATGCGTCCTATCGAGCATTCGAGCATTAATCCCCGCTCTTGCGATATCAGCTTCCGAAAGCGCATTGGGTCTACGGGAATCATGACGTACGACGGAACTGCAGTGCTTTTGTGTGGCTAGTGCTATGCAGTGCCAATCTTCAGGACGGAGTACATGGGTGGCGTGAGGCACATTGGAGGCTGAACCGAGGGACTGGTAATTACTCCGCAAGATACCCGTGGACAACAGGAACACGAAATTGCTGACAGGATCATCCCGCTAAATTTCCGAACACTGACAGCTGTTACATGTAAGACCATACAGCCTTATAGAAAGTCAACTAATCACCATACAGTCCGAAAGTCTACATGCCAGTCGTTATAGCTTGCATCGCTACACTTAGCAGACGGCTTGCGCGTTGATTTTGAGAAGTGTTGACGTAGACACGGGCTTGGTAACACCGCAACCCGCCTTTCACACATTGATGCGTGCTCAGATGAGTAATCTGATCGAGGCACAATGAGACACGAGACGCAGTCGAACGGGCTCAAGCCACATTCCCACTTCCATCTTCCATCGCCCAGGCCAGTTCATGTGATCAAAGGGCAACCACAGAAAGAGCAACATGGGACATCAACTCCTGCCAATTCACTGCAGCAGTCAGAGCATGCTAAAGAGGGACCCAACAGCGAATTATGAAAAGATGCCAATCTTTTCGCAGCATTCTCGCTACTACGAGCATCCTTTGGTCAATGAACGGAGGATGACCAGAGCGATGAACCCAAATGTATCGTAAGATGCCATTCGTTAGTTCATGAAAACCATCTGCGGCCTTGCGCAATATATCAAGACCTAAGCTATCTGTGGTATTAACAAGGCGGTGTACTAGTTGTTCAACAGGCAAGCTGCTTGACATTCACCCTATGTTTGGTGGAAGACCTTTGTCTAGAACAAAGCCCGAAAAGAGAGTGTGAGGGCAAATTCCTTGCCAAAATCTTTACCTGAATGCATATATACTGCTACTGTGTCTCTATCTGGGCATTGGCGCCCAGCAGAAGCCATGGTAGAGACTATATACTCGATGACAAGCTTTCAGTCTTCACCCTCAATGCCCGGCATTGTCTTATATATACTGTCGCATTACCTGCGTCCAGCGTCCAAACGTGTGAAATGGCGACTTACGTGGTGAACCACATCCTGGTGAACCACCTCCCACACGATGGCGTGTGAAATACACGCAGTCACACTGTATGCGAGCGATGTCCCTTCGTCCTCAAAAGGCCGGAAAATCCGTCAAAACATTGGATCACTCCTCGCCATACATCGTTGTACAACGCAGTTGAACAGTACCGCACTGTGACCCAGGCCTCCGTCAATATGAACCACCCTCCAGCACAGTCGCGCGAGCAGTACTTTGTGAGCCACGTCAAGCCGTCGCCCCCTTCAGACGACCCGGCATGTCCCATCTGCAGAGATCCCTGGAGTCCCGATACGTATACCATCATTCGGACGATATGTGGCCATGTCTTCCATCGGTCGTGTCTAGATCGATGGCTAAATCAGGAAGACGGGGGGAACACATGTCCAACCTGTCGTGCAGTTTGTTTTCTCCTACCCCCAGCACAGGAGACCGTGGTTCAAACCGTAAGCCCTAATATCGACCACGGATTTGATCCGGGGCTTGGGGCTGACTCAGGTTATCTGACCAACACTGTCTTCGCTCTCACGGCTACAGCAATCCAAGATATGCTTGAGCCGCATACAGGAACCGAAGACGTCCGCAGGCAGTTTGGTATTGATCTCGAAGACTCCAATGATCCCCTACGGTTTCTTCAAGCTATGAAAAACGTCGTCCATGCAGGTGTACTACTGGGTCGATTTCCGCCAAATCTTCAGGAGAGCTGGATGCCCACACTGAGGCTCCGCCTTGGAGACTGGCAGACTATTAAATTCCTGATAGCGTCACTTTTCATCTCTACGCATTGGCGAATGATGACCCCATGTCAGTGGACCAGCGTACTTGCCGAACGAAATCGGATTGGGCGTGCTGCATCTGACTCGGCAGACTTTGGACCATCCAGGGACTCTTGGATAGAGTATATTAACAACAGTTACAATGCCGAGTATGGGATCGCGATTGACGTCTACTTTCCAGGCGCCAGAATTACACGCTGGAGGGAGACTAATTCGACTGGCCAAATAGTCAATGAAGATGAGCTGGACTTAACCACGATCGACACCACTCTGGCGACCAACATCAACGTTCCGGGTACAGACTTCAGTCCAGGGCCTCTACTGTACTTCCAGGGTAGCTCACTCTGGATTTCGGAACGCGTGATGGGCAACATTGTAGAGTTGAGCATCGACAGGACCTCGCGTACTGTATATATGCGTAGCTCCGCAAATCGCGAGTTCAGAATAGAGTTCCTTCCCCATGGGATACAGGAAGACGCTTCCTTGCCACCAGTTACGACAAACATGATAAGGCGCGGTGGAGGGCTGTTCCGTTATGGGTTCTGTTGAAAAGCTTGTAGAAACAAGTGGAGCGGATTCATGGTATGTTGTCACGGGTTGTACGAGAACGAGCTGTTGTCGCTGACGCGCTAAAAGCTGCCCCACCCGCGTGGGAGCTTCCCAGGTTGCGTCGCGTCGCTCATCCATGGATCGCATCTTCACTTCAGACTTTGGCACCCTTGGTCACAAGCAGGGCTATGAGCGCTCTTACTTTTAAAATTTCTGCATCTCGCTCATAGAATCTACACAATAATGCGATAGTCTAAAACGACGAATCCACCCATTTCTACCTGACGTATAGCGGACCTATCTGTGACACACTGCAACATAGACAAGATGAAATATAGCGGGTAATCCTTCTCCTTCCACACACCTGATATTGGCAAAGAATTAATCATGTAGGCTATATTTCGTCTCCAACCCCTCCACCAACATCGACGCCTCTCTCGCTATCGTCAACACTCTCATCCAAGGCATTGAGACCAGCTTCCCAAACACCACGCGACAGCAAACACCATGGTCGCTATCATACCGCGCATTCCGCGACACGATACCTCCGGGTTACCAGCCACCTGCGGGCGCAGACGGTAAACCAGAGCCATACGCACATTCATACCAGCACCTCCTCCACCTTTCGAGCCTCTCGCCGAACCGCACATATGTCCTTGCACAACCGCGAGCGCAACAGGAAACTATGACGTCGATACCGCTGCGACAACAAGACGCACATGCCTCAGTACTGCGATACCAGTGTTCCGCTCTGTGGACACCTAGACACATACTCGCGGTGCGAGAGGGGGCATCATATAGCGGGGGCCTCTGTTCAATACAAATCGGCGAGCTACGAGCGACTCGTGAAGGACCCCAGTCAGGCGCTATCTCGTCACCCGGCGTCGTGGTCTGCATTAGCACAACGTTGGGCGCTGAGGACACGGATGGAAACATGGATTCAGGCTATGGTACAATGGAGAATGGTACAGCGATGGAGGTGGACGAAGAAGAAATCGACATTGAGTATGCACAGGCTGTGGTGCGCGACTGCTGGAGTAGAATCAAAGATGGGCGCGATCTGGGCCGGTCAGAGACCAGGGAAGTGATGATGGCTTCGACTACGACGAACATAAAGGGCCAGGAGCAGGAGGCGATGGTGCGCATGTGGTGCGATGCTCTGCGCATGCGCGGATGAGCCAATATTTGTACGACATCATTCATCATCAGATACCCAATATGAGAGCTTGAGATGGACATGTGACAACTGTGACGCGACACGCATTCATATAGCGTAGCATGCAAGCGAATCATGGATAGTTTTATAGTTTGATTGACTATATGCCAGGCCTATCCTGCCTAGACACTCATACGACCGTCTAGTCTCATTGCCTCCTACCAAATCCCTAGGTATCCCTACAGGTATCTAAACTACAACAACGTAAAAGGGCAAAGAAGAAAGAAAAGAAAGCGAAGGTGGTAAGGTCAAGTATTAAGGCAACATCTTGCACACATTCAGATTACAACACATAGTTGAAGATCGATCCCCGAAGCTTGATCAGCTCGCGCCATAACCCTAGACCGGACATATGCAAAAGGAAATTTCTGGGAAGGCGAAAGAAGGGAGTAGTAGTAATAACCAGCCAGTAGATGAAGGATAAGTATCGCACAATGAAGAAGATACACAACATCCAGATTATGCTTACTGCGCACCAACCTCTTCTTCTGCCCAGCCAGGGAGACCGCCGTCACCCTGGATGGCAAGACCGTAACCGCCATTGCCGCTGCCGAAACCACCGATACCGGAGCTTAGGCTACCGAAGGAGCCCTGCTGAGGTGCTTGGGTTTGCTGCATGGAGTGGTTGAAGGGGCCCTGAGTGAAAGCGGGCAGGCTCACAGCGCGGGAGTGTTGACCACGCGAGTTGAGGTTCGAGGGCGCGAGTAGGCCACCAACAGTAGTAGCACCTGAGCCACCAGCTGACGTACCGTTAATCAGACTGAAGCTCGATGTGCTTTGATGGGAGCTATGAGAGTGGTGCGGCTGAGGAGTGTTCAGGTCGGCGCTGTAGAAAGCAGCTTGCGGCGACTGGAAAGATTGCTGCTGGTTCTGCTGCTGCTGCTGCTGCTGTTGCTGCTGCTGTTGTTGCATGCTAGCCTCAACCTGTTGTTGTTGCTGCTGCTGTTGCTGAGCTTGTAGGTACATCATGAGGGGGTTGTTGTTGCCGGAGTTCATGATGTTACCTGAAGCAGGTGCTTGAACGGAAGGGAACTGGCCGTTGGTGCTTTGGCCAGAGCCTGGTGCGCCAGAGCCAGTCGGCGAGACTGAAGCACCAGCACGGTTGGGATGCAGTCCGTTGATAGGCGATGGGGACTGGAGACCATCGCTACCGGCTTGCTGGGCCTGGGCCTGCTGGCTGTTCATCTGGCGAGGAGGGTTACCGCATCGGTCCTTTCCGAAGTTGACCTTGAATCGCTTGTATTCGTCACGGCCACGGATCGCTTCAATTGCCTTGATGGCATTGGCAATGTTGGTGAAATTGACGAATGCACAGCTCTTCTCGCGCAAGGTGTTGACCAGCTCAATCTCGCCGTACTCCGAGAAATCTTGCCTCAAACGATCTTCGGTCCAGGACTCATCTAGGTTGCCGATGTAGACGTTACGTGAGGCACCACCACTGACAGCAAGGGCGATCGCAGGCGGGAGAGCACCAGAGTGCTTACCCCATCCAATCTTCAAGCGACGGTTGTGGATCATAAGTCCTTGGAGATTGCTAAGAGCGTAGAAGGACGCAGCCGATGTCGGGTCGATGAAAGTAACGAAGCAAATGTGCTTATCCGGGATGTACCTGATGTGATGAAGAAGACCACCGCGCACAACATTGCAGATCTCCTCAATGGTGGTTTCGGGATGGATGTTACCTAGATAAACTGTTCGGTTACCCAAGTTGTTCACACCACCAGCAGAGGTCGCGACCGCAGCGGCAGCGACAGATTGCTGAGCAAGAGCATTGGAGATCATGTCGCGGTCCGCACCGTTCAGAACATGAGCGTAGCCAGGCGCGATACCCAGGTACTGCGCGGCGTTCTGCTGCTGGGTCTTCGAAACGTAAGCGCATCGATCCTTGCCGTAGTATACGCGCCTAGGCGCTTGCCATTTTGGCTCCTGGGGAAGCTGAGACACAGCCTTGATGGCATTTCCGATGGACAAAAAGTGAACAAAGCCAATGGCCTTTTCCCGGACAATCTTGACGGTATCGATGGGACCGAATTTGCTCAGGTCTTCGCGGAGTTCGTCCTCAGAAACATCCTCTGACAAGTTACCTAGGTAGACGTTGCGAGAGGCGCCCGATTGCTGTACAGCCAAGGCTACAGATGTGGGAACCTGCGACGGCTTTCCCCATCCAATCTTGATGTCCTGACCCCTGATGGACAGCTTCTTCAAAATAGCGTCAGAGTGGAAGTGGGTAGCGGAGCTGCTGTCCAGGAAGGAGATGAATGCGCAGTTCTTGTCTGGGAGAAGCCTGACGGACTCGATTTGACCACTGCGTACATGGCCGAGTATCTCCTCCGCAGAAGTCTCCGGGGGGATGTTGCCCAGGTATACAGTCCTGCTAGTTCCGGATACAAGACCGGGAGCAATCGGCATTGAGGAGCCGAGTCCACCGAGACCCTGCGCGCCGTAACCAGGGAAACCTCCAGTAGGTGACTGGGGTCCACCAAAAAAGCCACTGGTGGGAGAAACCATGTTCTGGTACAGCTGGGGCGAAAGAGGCTGTTGCAAGGGGCTTCCCATCTGGTTGTTCTGGTGGTTCTGTTGCTGAGACTGATTCTGGCCAGCGAACTGTGCGAAGTTCTGGAACTGAGGGGAAGCGAAAGCCGAGGGCGAACCTGGCTGGAAGGGGCTACCGAGGAGCAACTGCGAAGGGAGCAGAGGGGTGAAGTTCATGTCGAAACCAGTTCCTGGAGTCTGCAGATCGTTGCCGTTCTGGTTGCCAGGGTTGAGTCTGCCAGTATTGATAGACATGTTGTTCGCCCTCTCCGGGTGTCGGTCGCCATAGCCGGGCTGGTTCGTAGCGAAGGCGCCATGAGAGAAGCCGTGGTGACCGCCGTTCATCTGCCTGTGGAAGCTCGACTGGAGACGGGGACCGCTGGGAGCGTTCGGGGCGCCGTCGTGTTGCTGCATACCGAGGAGGTGCGGAGGCAGGCTGAAGCTGTCCCGCGCGTTTTGAGATAGAACCGCCGTGGTGAAGGTGTATTACTGCGTCCGGGACTCGTTGGACCGGACGGCGAAATATGTATGGCAGAAGGTGAAGTTGCAACCGGTTGCAGAGAGGTCGCCGGGCTTGCGAAGATGCTGCTGTATTACAAGATGTAGAGCGTTCTAGAGGGCATTAGTTTGAGAGCTGCGAAGACGCATTGGAGGAGACGTACTTCCAAAAGCACAATGGCAACGAGTCGTTTGCAGGTCTAACAATACAAGACACGCTCACAACGCAGGCAGTCGGAGCCTAAAGGATGCAGGCACAGAGATCCAGAAGGGTACTGTCGCAGGCTTGAACGATGGACGCAGCGGAGGCGCAATTAAATGCCGTGGGCCAGAGTTGCCGAAGAACAAACTCGCGTGGCTTGTTTGAGGATGCGTGCACCAAAAGAGCGAACAATAAGAATGAAGTGCAAAGAAGCAAGCTTTGCCGGGAGCCTCGATGCGGGGAGAAGAGGACAGAATGAACGAAGGGGATCGAAGAAGAGGGATGCGACCTGAAGTCGGAGCGGAGGAAAGAAGAAAGAGGTCGGTGAGAAATGCTAACTAGCAGGGCACATTAGGAGGCAGCCGCAAATGAGGCAGCCCAAAGCGGACAACTAGCGCACCGCCCATTTTAAACGCGCAGGCCACGTCTGAATCGTGCAAACCACCGTCGCCACGAACCGCTGCCCTGCAGTTCTCTGGCCCCGTAGACGCCTGTGCTAGGCGGCGTGGTATTTCGTGCAGCGACGCGCCCCCGTGCCTGGCGTAGACGGTCCTGTGCTACCAACGGCGCAGCTCGGTATCCTCCAGCAGACGCGGCCAACGGGTAATTGCAGATATGCACACCGTCCCTGACTAGACGAGCCGCCTGATAGTGCTGCTCTTAAGACGGGTCCCTTTTTTCCCTTTGTCACGCGAACACGAAAGGGTCCAGATCGTATTGCGGCGGCTCCAGTTCCAGGCGTAAGGATAGCCCTTAGTGCCGGCCAGCCCATCGCCTCGTCTCAGCAAGCCGTACTGAGCGTTTCCGTCTGGTCTGGCTCCGGGGTATACTACTGCGAGCGTTCGCCAGGTGTGGAACAAACACGGAGCGCTCCGTCTTCGGGGTATCAGATGTCAAACGCCATTATGCAAAACCTCCACGTGTGTCATGCTTACCCCTGGGGGTTTGCTGACTTCTAGAATGACGTTTGCGTATCCTGTTGTTTCCAAGGTTGACGTGTTCTGTACATACGGACCACGGGTGCTGAGGACAAGGATCATCCCTAAGCGAGCACGTGACGCCCAACTACGAGCGACTGGTCAATCTGTGCTTTCCGACGATCGTGCATCAACCCGCTGTCAATTCTCCCATGGCACAGCTGTCTCCGTCCATTGCGCAGTGCGCCGTCGTGGCCACGGCGCTCAAGGTGCTGCTTTTTCCTGCTTAGTATGTCTCGCTGCACAATTCTGAAGTTTAGTTCCTCGTCTTTGCTGACCATCTCCGGCAGTAAGTCGACCGACTTCGAGGTTCATCGGAACTGGCTTGCTCTAACGCATTCCCTGCCCATTAAGGAGTGGTATTACGAAGTCAGACAACCATGCCTTTAACGCCACGCAGTATTTCTGACCTAACACCAGAAAACGTCTGAATGGACCTTGGACTATCCGCCGTTCTTCGCTTACTTTGAATGGCTAATGTCTCAAGCTGCACCCTATGTTGATCCCGGTCTGCTCAATGTAAAAGATCTTGGATACAACAGCTGGCAGACCGTCTACTTCCAGCGTACTACAGTCATTGTTACCGAGCTCGTCTTAGTCTACGCTTTGCATCTGTACTTACACACCACTCCACTTGATCTATCCGTTACTAAATGCTCGCCAGCTATGTGAAGACGTCAAAGTCCAAAGTCACTGCTCATGCCGCTGCTCTCTCTGTCCTACTGTCACCAGGACTGCTTATAATCGATCATATCCATTTCCAGTACAATGGTTTCCTCTACGGCCTCTTGGTCCTCTCTATGGTCTTGGCCCGCAGCAACTCGACCCTCCTATTGTCCGGGCTGCTCTTTGCAGCGCTTTTGTGTCTCAAACATATCTACCTGTACCTCGCGCCTGCGTACTTTGTCTACCTTCTGCGCGCTTACTGCTTGGGGCAGCGGTCGTCGTTCCCGTATTTCACTATACGGTTCTTCAATTGCATCAAATTGGGCGTGGGTATCGTCTCCGTCTTCGCAGCCGCTTTCGGCCCCTTCGCAATTTGGGGACAGATAGGGCAAGTGCTCAGTCGCCTGTTCCCATTCTCGCGAGGTCTGTGTCATGCCTACTGGGCGCCGAACGTCTGGGCGATATACTCGTTCTCTGACCGAGTTCTAATTTACCGTATGCAGCTTTCCACTACCACTTTGTACCAAGCTAACACTGCCAGTGGCCCCGCGCCTTGGACTGCACGTTGATCAAGAGGCAGTGAATAGCGTCACTCGAGGGCTTGTGGGAGACACGTCTTTCGCAGTACTTCCGGACATAGACCCATTGATATGCTTCCTTCTTACTCTAGGAACACAGATAGTACGTGTATCAATATCCTGGGTGATTGATTGAACTAACGTCATCCAGCCCGTCCTCCTCCGCCTCTTGTACAAACCAACTTGGGAGGCCTTCATTGCTGCTGTAACGCTGTGTGGCTACGCATCTTTCTTGTTCGGCTGGCATGTCCACGAGAAGGCAATCTTGCTCGTGATCATTCCATTCAGCTTGATCGCGCTCCAGGATCGTCGATATTTTGGCGCTTTCCGACCCTTGGCTGTCGCTGGTCATGTATCCCTCTTTCCTCTCCTCTACACAGCAGCCGAGTTCCCTGTGAAGACAGTCTATACTATCTTCTGGCTCGTACTTTTTCTTATTGCCTTCGATAGGCTAGCTCCTGCGTAGGTAACCTGTCCTTTCTTTCGGGTCTCCGCTAACATACAATAGTTCACCCAAACCCAGGATCTTTTTACTTGATCGCTTCTCCCTGCTTTACATCGCTCTTTCGATACCTTTGATTGCATACTGCTCACTGGTCCACGGCCTAGTGTTTGGTTCTCGGTATGAATTCCTGCCGCTCATGTTCACGAGTTCGTATTCAGCCGTAGGAGTGGTGGGCAGCTGGGTCGGCTTTCTGGTAGTTTACTTTGATTTGTAGATGCATGAGTATCCAATAAGTCTAGAATATTGTTCCTGCTATTTCCATCTCTTGGGAAATAAGCTCCTCTGGATGTGGCAAATTGGTCGTCTGAATATCTTCTTGACTAGCACCCGTCTAAAGTGCAGTCGCATGCTGTCTAGTGGTAGCCTTCAAAAGGAACGAGCTCTGTCTACTGGGTCACATTGGAAAGTCACGCGGATGCTTGAGATACTCTTAAGGGCACGGCATGCTTGCTACTAGTGCTGCGAAAGGGAGACAAGACAACACCAGTGCGAGCATAGTAGTAAACAAGCACTCCTGAGTAAACTTGATACTGTCAAGATATCGAAGATGATGTTTGATACAGTATACATCACTATGTCTTCCAACGTGCGGCTAGATGTTGGGGTAGAGTCGTTCGAGTTGGTGTGTTTGAGCAAGTGGGTCAGGCTGCCCCCAAGGGTTTGCTCGGGGTGGCTCGAGGCATGAGCTTTTCATGACCGATTATCACAGAACTTGATAATGCACAAGGTTTGCCAAAGTTGAATAAACTGATGCATGCATATCGCAGGATGATAGAGCTCATTGCTACGATTCGAAAGAGTCCAAATATGTTGATATTATGATGGTGGTGGGGTGTGTAGCTTTGACGCGTGGGTGGTAGGGTGCGAAGGCAGTCCTTGCCAAATCAAGTATGGTAACTAGTGCCAAGGGACTACGGGCCTCTTCCACTACCCTCCGCTCGCTTTTCTCCCTCGTTGACTACTCTTCGACTAATCCTCTCCGCCCTACCTCACAACTTCCCGACTATCACGCTCTTACCATCCGCGAACTCACCCACACGTCGCCCAAACGCGCTCTCGGAACTGATCGACGCGTCTCGGAACGCTACTCGGACCACCGAAGACTGCGACGACGATTTCGAAACACCTTTCCTGGCGCGTAGAGACGGACAATCGGTCAACTGCCTACAGAGGGGCCATTGCCCCCACCTTTTACCGCGAATTACCTTGAGCAGAGGTAATCGGCGCGCTTCGATTGTCGCGACACTTCCGAAGTTTGCGACGCGGTACCGTGGACGTCGAACAGGCTACATGAGCTAGGGATCAGACCAAGATGGTATGGTTTGGGTCGCGTTATATACAGGAGCGTGTGCTGACTGTTTTCCAGGTTCTCTACAAGCGTAAACCCGTCAAATTCGAACCCCTGCCGAAGAACCTTGACGACAGCACTGAGGTACGCTACATACTTTGTTGGACCACGGAACATATATGCTAAAGTCGCTGGATAGGTATGGCATATCGAACAGACTGGAGAGGTCTTCACAGACTATGAGCGGTTCCTTGAGAGGTAAGAAAATATATGGAATGACGTCAGGTAGGTACCTGTCGCTAATGAGGTGTAGATTCGACTTCTATCAACAGCGGAGCTTCACATGCCAGGCGACTGGTCATTCAGGCTATACCTATTTCGAGGCCCAGGAGAGCGAGGTAGGCTCCACGTCAATACTCGTCAAGGCCGACGAAGAGGTAACATCCGTGCAGACGGAAGCTTCCAAAGAGATCAACAGCATCTTCCCGGATGGCTTAAGATCTCCTGTCCTTCACTATGTTCAGTTTCAAGACCACCATCGGATGGATGACCTAGGTGAGTCAACCTTGCTTGCTTAGCCCAGGAGTGCTGCTGACATACTATACAGTGAATGATGTCTACGATGTATGTCCACGAAGCGAAACCAGTACCTACAAGGAAACACATGCTGACTTGTTCGCAGCACTTCAAGGAGCACTTCATGCTGAATGATCGGGTTTCCGTCGAAGGCGACCACTCCCGCCGCTTCGGCAAGATCACTGAGATCACGGACAGCAGCCGACTACACAGCATGTTCAGTGGTCAGTCCATGGACGACAACATTCGGACATACACCTACGTCATTACCATGGAAGACAGCGGCGAAACCGTCACCAAATACAAAGCCTCAGAACTCCAGCGCGATCGAAAGACCTATTCCAAGCTCATCCTGAAAGCTTTCCTTCGCAATGCCCTTAAGCGTGAGTCATGGATTGGTGCGCCATGGATGGTCAAAGACAGCTTGGCAAAGCGATACGACATACCCACCAAGCTCCCTGACAAGAAGACCCGCGAGGCTATTTTAGCTGCTAAGAGGGCGACCACTGGCGTACCCAACGGTGTGACCGAACCTGTTCAACAACAATACCCACAACAGATGCCCAACGGTCATGGTCCTCATGTCAATGGCCATAGACCGCCTTTACCACCCGGACAAGCGCAGCCTACCTTCGTTAATTTCTCTGCAAGCGGCCCTCCCCCCTATGCACAACAAGGTGTGATGCCTCCATGGGCAGCTGGAAACCCTCATCGGCCAGCGTATTTTGCCAACGGCCCACCGATCAACTACTCTGGACCTCCGCAGATAGTGACTGGTCCACCGCCCAATTTCCTGGCTCAGGTGCCGCCTGCTCTTGCTGCGCAATTAATGCAGATGCATGCGCCTGGTCATGGCCCGCCCATCAATTTCCCATTCCAAACCAGCTTCAACCACCAACAAGGTCCTCGGCCAACAAACCTTCCACAGCCTCAACAAGCGCCTCCACCGCCCCGTACTATTGAGTATGTCAAATACCCATGCGAGGACCTAGAGATCAAGCAACCTCGTCTACAGGTCAACCGACCACCATTGAAGTTCTTCTCCGACGACGTTCCCGAAGGAGTCGAGCCGCCAGCTGACGAGAAGAAGACCGGCATCTTGATGAAGAGTGTTGGCCCGTTACTCTGTATCTGGGAGACTCTCAATGTTCACGATACCATCTACATGCTAGACTCTTTCACCTTCGATGACTTTGTCGACGCTATGCGGTTCTCGCATGAGACAGTCGAGTGTGAGTTGTTTGTAGAGATGCACTGTGCAATCCTGAAGCAGATTGTCAACGATTCCGGCAAGATCCAGACGTCCCTACCGAACATGGCCGACAGCGAGGATTCATCAGACGAAGATTCGAGCGAAGAGTCAACGCCCACGCCTGAGCCCGAGCCGCCTGTTCGAACTACTCGTAGCAGTTTGAGGAAGTCGGGTGCAGCCCAACTTGTTGCAAAACCACGCACACCCACGCCTGAGCCTCCGAAAGAACTCCACAAGGCCGAGGAATTCGATAACGAATTCGACTGGGTCGAGCAGTGCAAGACTCGCAACTTTGCGGACGGTGGATGGCAGGCAGTTATCGTCGCACTCCTCTACCGCCTTTCTTTTGATCCTGCGCGGAAGGAAGCCTGTGACGAAATCCTTGCTGAGCTTGTCCCTCCTGATGAAGAGCCTACCATAACCACCATTGCCACCAACTACGCGAAGCTCGATGTTAATCTCCGCATCTCTGCGCTCGAGATGATTCTGAATCTTACTGTTGTCACTGAGAATTTCCGCGATCAGCTGGTCGCTGCCGCCCAGGAAATGACTCGCTTGCGCAAGGAAAAGATCGAGTACCAGCGCAAACGCAAAGAGCTGGCTGATGAACTTTTCAAGCTGGATTTGGAGCGTAAGATCCACCTTCCTGCCAACACACCGGCGTCGCCTACCGATGCCAAGATGGACGAGGATGTGGATGCATCCATGACGAGCGTCAACGATGGGTCCAAGGAACCTGCCGAAGCCGAAGCAAACGGTGGCAACGATGCACCTACTTCCAAGGGCAGGACCCGTCCGGCGAATAAGAACAAGCGCAAGGCGGCTGCTGAAGAAGCTCGGAAGGAGAAGGCGAAGAAGGCCAAGGCAGATGCTGAGAAGACCAAGAAGCAGAAGGAATGGGAGAAACTACTACAAGCGATTGAGAAGAAGAAAGACGAGCTCAAGGAGTGCGAGGACAACATCAACGAGCTTGACGATGATTTGCGCGAAACTCTTGTGCATCGTAGCAAGATCCTTGGCAAGGATCGGTTCTTGAACAAGTACTACTGGTTCGAGCACAATGGTATGCCATTCGGCGGTGTTCCCAACAGCTCTACCGCCGAGTATGGGTACGCCAACGGACGAATTTGGGTACAGGGGCCGAGCGAGTATGAACTTGGTCCAAACTTGGAGGAACCTGCCCTCTCTCAAGACATGCAGCGCTTTGGCTACACTATTCCGCAGCGTAAAGAGCGAGAAGAAGGCCCGACGCACCTGTCCAACTCGAATCAGTGGGCATTCTACGACGACCCGGAGGACATTGACAAGCTACTTGCGTGGCTCGATGAGCGCGGCCATCGAGAACGTGTTCTACGGAAGGAGTTACAAGCATTCCGTGACCGTATCGCCGAATACATGCTTAAGATGCGGAAGCATCTGGAGGACTCCAACAAGCCCCAGGAAGAGGAAGAAGATGACAATAAGACGAGAGTGTCGACGCGAAACAAGACCTATGTCGACAAGGACACCCCCAAGGATCGCTGCTTGCTCTGGACGAACAGCATCATGCGTGAGGAGTTCGGCCACAACCACATCGAAGAGTACGAACCACCAAAGAAGGGTAAGGCGAAGCCAGCCAAGGCATCCAAAGCCAAAGGCCGAGGCCGTTAATGCGGTCTCTTGGTGCCACAAGCCCACGCAAGAGGCGAAGCAAAGTGGAAACGACCACAGGCTTGCTCTAAACCAAGGCCACAAGATGTATATCAGCTTACTGACGTACCCGAGCATGACGAGCTCCGCAGAGCTAGTGAGGACGTTGGCAACACCGCAGTACATTTACGAATGACGACACAGCATACTTTGGCGATCTACGGCGTTTTGATACCATGAGCCTTGGTGCTCAAAGTACATGTTGAGCATTTTAGGGAGTTCGGAAGGATGCAGAGCTGACTGCCATTGCGATGGCAAGTCTTGCCAGCAGACTTGGTTCATGGTTTTACCGGATATTCATCTATGGCGGGTTCTTCGGTGGTGTGCTCAGTCGACATTGTGTCGATCTTGACGTGTATGGCGTTTAGCATTTGTCATGAGCGCACATTGTTAGTATAGCTAGAAATACCAAAACGAGATTGAATTTCTTTCCGTGTGATGTGAAGTATCAGTTGCCGCGCTGCATTCCACGTTCGGCATTAATTCTTGAACTGTTCATGTTCGATTGGTACCTAACACCTGACTGGCTGGCCATTTCGGGTTAGTACGCGATGCGCGGCTGCTTGACGCGACCGGAGGCCGCCATCAGCAGCGCATGCAACCAGACCTGCCGCCTTCCATCAGCAAGAGACATTTTGACATCGGATACGCCTCCGATACACTTGGAAAGATCTCTCGGGGTGATTAGAGGACCACCGAAGCACTCCGCAGGCGTCGTAGAGCCGCCAACATGGCTACGAATGGCGCACGAAAGGGTGAGCTGAACTCCGCACCCCTCCCCGGCGCCGCTACGATGGAACTAATGTACCGCAGCAACTTCAGCCACAGAATCTGGAGGCAACTCCAGCCTACTGGACACAAGCGCAGTAAAAGACATAGTCAAATCGGAGAAAGCCAGGATCAAGTTGAAGATCAAGAAGCCGGTACCGAAGCCGTCGATATCTGGGAACTGGAAGGAAAGCGACGCGACCAGTACGTCACCTACAACGCGCTGTATCAGTACATGCACGTGGGTCTACACAGCGGTCTAACATAATACTAGACGTCGAGAACAAAGCCCCCGCTCCGTCGACTACCTCGCCTGTGATCAATCCTCTGGACGAGAAAACGATTGCCGGCTTCCCCAGCGGCCGACCCCTAGACGATAAAGTGGACACAGTACAATGTAAACACTGTCGCCGACCCGTACTTCGCGCATCTTCTGCGGCGCATATTCGTGAATGCCTGAACAAGAAGCAGGAGAAGCTGAAGAAGAAGAAGGAGGCAAAGGAAGCCAAAGACGCAGCTCTGCGGAAAGAGAAGGGCGAAGATGACGAGGGCGGTAAGTCGCGCAAGTCAGCGATCAAGGGTGCCTCGATAGATGGCGATGGCGCAAAGAAGGGCAAAAAGCGGAAACTTGATGGAGACGCAGAGAAGGCGCCGAACGCCAAGAAGAAGAAGAAGGACGAACCCAAGCAGAAGGGAGCAAAGCCCAAAGGCCCAGTCGATGTTGAGAGGCAGTGCGGTGTCTCCCTACCAAACGGCGGATACTGCGCAAGAAGTCTGACTTGCAAGAGCCATAGCATGGGTCTGAAGAGGGCCGTTCCAGGACGAAGTCTACCGTACGACATGTTGCTGGCGCAATATCAGAAGAAGAACCAGGCTAAGATTCAACGTCTGTATCCCACAATCACTCAGCTAGAAACATTGTGTGTTAACATATTCTTAGGGTCTCTCATCGATGCTAACGCGCCCCTTCCCGAAGATCTCGAGCCCTCAGGCGCTGTTGATTCCGACGAAGAGAAAGACTCTATAATGGCTGCCCTCTCTCGACATCGGCCACGACCCATGGCAACATACACGCATACATCACAACGCTCGAAATACCAATACATCCGCATGAAAGGCATGATCCGCTCAGCACTTGGCGCACCGCCAGGCGGAGGCGGGTCCATGTTCTCGGGTGGTGACAATATGAGTACTGGACGAGGGATGGCACTCGGTATGATGGGCGCGCCATTGAGTGCAACCAACGAGCACTTTCCGCAAAGCGCTGGATTCGGCGCCCCGCTGAGCGCTGGTCTGGATGGTGGAGCAGGGAGCAGGAGGCCAAGTGCTATCGGTACAGGCGGACCTCGACAGATACTCCCCGGACAACTACCCGGACCTGGCCAACAGCGGAAGGGCAGTATGGCGAGTGTTAGCGCTACCTAGGAGGATGCTGACCTGCCCAATAAGGCTATATTGGAGGAGCCATTCTATGCCACGGGTGAAGACAATGACGAGGAAATGGTTACGAACAAGGAGAATGTGGAACACGGCCAGGGTACCTCGTCAACCGCTTCCCTTTCATGAGGAATCTGGTTAGGGAATCGAAGCGTACAGAGATGTAGTCGCGTTCACGGACGGGATATGAGTTTCACATGATGGCTCTACATGAGGTAGAAAGGCTCCGGCAGGGCTACGGTATTTGCCTCTGGGTTTGGTTTATGTATTATTTGGGTCGGGAGTTTGGCATGATACCCTCTCTGTTTTTATGATTATCAGGAGTATTAGACGTTGATAGTGTGACTCAGTCACTTGAAATCAATGGCATTCCTTTGATCTCCTGCAGAGGCCTGATCGCTCTAGCCTAGTACCGATGAGAAACTGAGAATGTGTAGGGAAAGACGATTGGAGAATGACATGGCTGATGTGCGGCGAAAACAGACAGTATCTTGGTAGACGACTATGTTATGACTCCCCTTGCATACCCCAATATCCCACTCTCTGTGCTTTAGGTACCGTCATCTTAAAATGCAGATCATCCTCATCCTCACCGCTTCCCAATGCATTATCATCATCCTCTCCAATGTTGTACTCTTCATCGTCACTTCCATGGCGGTATTTGGACTGGTACAGATTCCGATCAAACTCATCGTCGTCGCTCATCTCGTCCTCTGGATAGTCGTTGGCGTAATAGTCCTCTGCATTTTCGTCTTCGTCATCCGTATCGAACTCTCGGTCGCTGTTTTCGTCGTTATCCCACCAGTCTGCGTCCTCTTCGCTGATAACCAGAAGACCGACTGTGCCTGTCGGGGCGGGGGCGTCTGGTAGAACGGGTTCTCGGACGTAATGGTCATACACGTATTCGCTGTCGATATCCATGGCGTCGCCATCGGCCATTGTGCCATCTTGGGCTGCGAGGGCTGCAGCCTTGTCCGGGTGCCGTTCTGCAAAGCGTTTCGCAGGCGCTTTGGGCTTGTGTTTCGAGGGCGAGGGGAGGGGTATTTCGAGATTATCTACCTTCTCCACCTCTTTTGACAGGGCTTCCAGGTTGCGTACATCGTTTTCTGAGGGCTCGGTGACGGGTGGTTTGCGGTGTATCGAGGGTTTGGCTGAGTGGTGCAGTGCGCTGCCGGCGCCTGGCCGCTTTCGTGGTCGCGGTGTAGAGTCTGGTGTCGGTTCTGGTATTGGCGCTTGCACTTGTCCGCCTGCTGAGATGTTTTCCTTGGTGACCTCTTGTTCCTCTACGAAATGCCGTTTTGCGCCAATCCTCGACACAGGGTCGAGGCGAAAACGGCGCGCGAGAGTCGGCGTGGGTGGTGTTGATTCCTGTTGGAGGTCGTCGCCCGGCTTGGTGAGACGCTTGTATGCAAAGTCGCTGCTTCTTTGTCGCTTGACATTCTTTTCATCGTGCTCGATCCTAAGGGAGTCGACAGGCGCATCGGTGCGCTTCCGCTTGATGGAGATTGTATTGGGTGGGAGTTGGTATGACATATTTGTGGCAACGAGAGAAGATGTAGTTCTAGCAAGTAACGTCTGGTCTATTTGATGCTCGCAGCTAAGTGTTTGGTGGTGAGATGGTCCAGCGAATCGGAGGGGCAGCGCGGGGAGGTGACATCAAAGCATTCCAGATGCCGCGCAGGCAGAGCCCCAGTCCACTAGCGCGATCTACACCCGCGTGTCACCCGTCGACTCTCGAGCTCACCCACGCGATATGATCATGAGTCTTACTAGCACCGACACGGCTTGAACATGTCCGCCTGTAATCACTCGTACAGTGTCCATCTTCCTTTCCAAGACGGGTCTTCCTCGTAGACGTGTATCGACATCTCCGCAACTCCGCAGTACATCCCCGAGAGCACCTCGAACGCGACGACACTTTCCATCATGAATCGCATCCGGCAGATATTCGATCGCGAGAACTCGCCGGCATCGTATGAGCCACTAGAAGGAGGATCTGAGCGTCCAGATGGCGAGCGTATCGAGCGCGAGGATCAGTCATTCTCGTGGACGGACTATGCTGTCTTTACGCTCCTGGGAGTCTCCATGCTATGGGCTTGGTGGGTACCTCAGACATCACCGCAGCCATGATACTGACTGCACTAGGAACATGTTCTTAGCAGCAGCCCCGTACTTCCAGAGACGCTTCGAGTCCAACGATAACCTCCTCCGCAACTTCCAGTCCTCGATCCTCTGCGTCTCCACCGTAGGCAACCTAGGCTCCATGATCGTCTTGACCAAGCTTCAGGCTCGTGCCAACTACCCCAAACGCATCGTCGCATCGCTCGCCTTGAACGCCGTCGTCTTCACCCTTCTCGCCATATCCACAAAGTTCTTCCTGAACATATCCGTCGGTGTCTACTTCGCTTTCCTCATGGTTATGGTGTTGAGCGCCAGCCTTGCGACAGGCCTGTGCCAGAACGGCGTCTTTGCATATGTATCGGGCTTTGGGAGAGAGGAATATACCCAAGGAATCATGTCTGGTCAGGGCATTGCCGGTGTCTTGCCTTCCATCACCCAGATCATATCGGTTCTGTCTGTACCTAAGAAGCAGCATACCGACGGAGCGCCGCAAGAGTCTAGCACCTCTGCCTTCATCTACTTCTTGACCGCCACGGCTGTCTCTGCTGCAACATTGGTAGCCTTCTTCTACCTCCTCTCCAGGGCTAGCTCAAAGCACCGCATGTCGCAAGCATCGTACGACCAAGGACCCGAATACGGTCCGACGCACAACGAGCGCAAGAGTGTACCGCTGACGCGCATGCTCAAGAAGCTCTTCTGGCTCGCCGGCGCCGTTTTTATCACCTTCGCAATTACCATGTTCTTCCCTGTCTTCACGCCACAAGTACTAAGCGTACGCGATCCAGCAACGGCTCCTCGCCTTTTCCAACCAGCAACTTTCATCCCTCTAGGCTTCTTTTTCTGGAACCTTGGTGACCTCATGGGTCGAGTCGGACCCGCTCTACCTGCCCTTCGTCTTACGCATCGTCCCCGCCTCTTGTTCTTTCTGTCCATCGCGCGTGTACTCTTCATACCCTTGTACTTCCTCTGCAACATTGGTGGGAAAGGCGCCGCCGTCAACTCTGATTTCTTCTATCTCTTTATTGTACAGCTACTCTTTGGCATAACAAATGGCTACTTGGGTAGCAGTTGCATGATGGGTTTCGCTGAGTGGGTCGAGCCGGAAGAACTTGAGGCAGCAGGAAGCTTCATGTCGCTCTCTTTGGTTGGCGGCCTTACTACGGGAAGCTTCCTCAGTTTCTTCGCTGCACAGTCCTCGTGATCTAGTGAATCTGGTAGCATGGCTCCTCCACGCGACTAGCATCAGCGGTCTCATTGTTAGCCAGAGACGTGTATAAAAGAGTTCATGAGCAATACAGAGTTCCTCTATTCATCTCGTCAGTTCTCACGAGAAATCATGGCTACAGAAATCATCTACATAGTTCTCAGATTCCAACTTCACCTCCGTACTGCTCAGCAGATTAGGGAGGATGGAAAACGTAGGAGACCCTCGTTCAGTTGGGCGGAGAAGATCCGGCATGATCAGGATTTCGCCCAGCTTGAAGACCGTGACAACACATACGATGAAGTGGAAGTGGTAGCTGCAGACGGTGGGCGGTGGAAGACAAAGCTAGTCCATAGCAAGTCTTGCGAGGAAGACGTACGAATCTCTGGCCACAACCCCATTAAGGACGTCGCCCAGCAGCTCCTGGTCGATGAAGCAAAGAAGCATATAGACGGGTTCAGGGCAACCGGTATCAAAGTGATAGGAGCTCCAAAGTCTCTTTGGGACGTTTCGAAGCTAAATGATCACATGATGGATAGCATTTTTTACGTTGTTCATCAGCCGACAACGCTTGATGATGGGACTACGAGTGCCATGACTAGGTACTGGTGGCAAGTTTTCGCCGTCAATTTTGGGAACTAGGATAGATCAGGGACCTACATAGATCAAACCTAGGTGGCAGCTGGTAGTAGCAAAGATCGAGGCATGCTTTCACGCAACCGTACTAGTTTGTTAGCAAAAAGGGTCGCTCCACACAAAGCTTGTCCATCGCGGGGCCTAAGTTATATTACTGGTACATTCATCTCCTATTCCCAGCCTTCTTGCAAGAGGTTGCACAATAGCCAAGATGTCTGTCAACTCCGTCTACCTAGTCATCCATTCCCACTCACGTTCCAAAGACAAACCCTCATTCCGCGTCGCCTCCGCCGAACTACCTAAGATCCCTTCTCAGTGGACCGGCCACGATCGCATCCAATATGAATACACTGGTGTCGGCGTCACCATGTCCGGTACCACGCTCGCTGAAAAATGGTACATCGAACTAGAGTACCCCAGAAATCCGGAGCAATATCTCGAGATCGTCGCGTGGTTCAACGATCTAGAAGCAGCGGACAAGAAACTGGCTGATCGCGTGTTGCAAGGCTGTAACCCCGATGCAGACACGGACGAAGAGGGTGATACGGGGAAAAAGAAGGTAAACGCGATTTGGACAGATTCCTTGGACGGCAACACAACAGCATTCTATCGCATCGATTCAAGGCAGGAAAACCTCGACGGCACATTCTCGCAAGCCATGCGATCGCACTGGTGGGAAGTCATACGCGTCGATCTCGAACAGCCAGACGTATACAGCGCGAAATGGAATGAGAAAGACCGGTCAACCTACTTGGAGACTTCGGAAAGGATCAACTCCCTTTTGACTTTGAAGAGAGTCAAGGGGTTGAGTGAGCAAGAGGTGGAGGAGTTGGACGGGCTACAGAAGGGATTGGGTTGGGTGGGTATCAAGAGAGTTAAGTCGCACGATTGGACTGGTGGGTATGTCAAGCGGAGCGAGGAGGACAGCGATGGAGTTAAGGAGTATCTCGAGAACGAGAAGGTGCAATACAGTAGTGAGGATGAGGAGGATCTGAGGGTGAGGAAGAAGGAACCAGGCTACGGGAAGCTGGACGTGAAGGATCGTGAGGTCATGGGGGACAATGTATGGGGCGACAAGATGTAGTCGCACGAACGCTGCGAGGATCTGTCCGTTTTTATGGCATTTCAGTCTTTTTTGGGATATTCATACATAGGCATGCTCTTTACAAAGCACCCAGTTCCTTCAACTTGCTAATCATGCCATCCACATCCTCAACCTTGACACCACCCTTCCGTGGTGGTGGCTCGGTGACCTTTACTGTCTTCAATCTGATCTCCGTGTCCAGCCCATAGTCGCTCAGGCTCTTCTTGTCCAGCTTCTTCTTCTTCGCCTTCATGATGTTGGGTAAACTAGCGTATCGGGGTTCGTTGAGGCGCAGATCCGTGGTGATGACCATGGGAAGTTTGGCTTTGATTGTTTGCACACCACCGTCGACTTCTTGGACGACTTCGACGGTTTGGTCGTTGATTGTGACTTTGGAGGCTTGTGTTGCTTGCGGCCAGTTGAGGAGGCCTGCGAGCATTTGTCCTGTTTGGCCGGCGTCGTCGTCGATGGCTTGCTTCCCTAGGATTACAAGATTGCTCTTTTGCTCGTCTACTACTTTCTGTAGAAGCTTCGCGACGCCCAGTGGTTCCAGGGCGTCCTTTTCTTCTACGACTACGTGTATGCCTCGGTCTGCGCCCATGGCCATGGCTGTGCGGAGGATGTCTTGGGATTTGGGGACGCCGGCGGAGAAGGCGACGATCTCTTCTACGTTGGGGGCATTCGCGTGGTGGGCCTTCTTTTCGCGCATGCGGACGGCTTCTTCGATCGAGAGTTCGTCGAAGGGATTCATCGAGTGCTTGACGTTTGCGGTTTCGACGGCGGTTTGGGCGCGGTTCACGCGGGGTTTGACCTGATCGTGGTGTCAGTGCCATTCGCTGTGAAGACAGCCGTCTTGAGTGCTCTCATCCTCGGAGCCATTCTTTCAAGCCTCCAAGTTGAACATGCGTGCGCCATGCCCATGTGTTACTCTCATGAACGTACCGCATAGTCAATGACCCGCTTGACGGGCACTAATATCCTCAATCCTGACATTGTGTGTGTGTGTTCCCTCCTCAGCACCTGGCAGCGTAATGGTTCGGGGGTATCACCGGTAATGATGTAGAAGAACCAGGGTGGGGGATAGCATCGGAGCTGCTTCTTGCGTTCGCGCTGCTTAGCCGAGGCTTTTTCCGATGTCCGCGGCGGCCTTGGCGGGGCGATATCGTCAGATCAGGAAGCGCCACTCCCGTAGAACTTCAATTGCTGTAGTTTTACACCGCACAGCTGGTAGAATTTGCCTTTGTAGATGTCTTCCATTCCCCCACACTTACTGGAGAACGAGCCCATGAGAGACGCGGGTAGCTTACTTCCCTGCTTGCTTGTTCACGATGCCAAATCATGCGTGGATTGCCTATTCGTTTGATGAGCTGAAGATTGCTCAGCGCGTAGTTATGCTCTTATAAACAGACTCCATCTACTGCTCTCGTATTCTTCAGCTCCAGACCCATCGTTCCGTTTACAGTCAAAGTTACGTTGGCAAGGGCTTCGCACATCATGCTTAATATTCTTGTCATCACACTAGCAGGAGATCGATCCACGGTGTTCGGTGTATCAGATAAGATTGCGCCTCGCCTGATACAACGAGCAGCGGTCCACGAGTCGCGAACGGTAGAAGACGCTATCGAATGCCTCAGTACAGACTGGCCAAATGCTATCTTAGTCCAGAGCAATCTCATCCTGGAGAACGAAGAACCGAGCACCACGCTACGTAATCACTTGATCGAACGAACCAGAAACGGCTGTACTACAATATTCACGGGATACTTCCATTGGCCAATGTATAAAGTGGACGCCTTCGAGGCTCTCTCCAAGGACGGTTTCGGGCTTCAGTGGGAGTTAGTAACAAGTGAGAACGTAATTACTGATCTTGTACAAAACGATCCTGGTTTGCTGCGTACTACGGTCCTCTCCTCAACAATGCAGAATCAAGGCCTCCTCCTCCGAGGCGTACCTAAAGAACAGGCCGTATACCGTGCTCGACAACAACCGGAACGTCTCGCTTCAGTAGCCTTTGCAGCAGTAGACTCAGGAAGGGTGGGTTTTATAGGATGTGGAGGCGACGAAGTGGACAGACTCGTCTTGGCTATGTGTGGATTAGACCGTCCCACAGATGCTCCTGGGAACTCTTTCAAGAGTCACCACGGAGACCATTGACTTTGCAGGTGTACTTACGATCCTTCTACATCGGTTTCTGTATTCGAATGAAGATACGTAGATTACATATTCAAGAGTTACCCAAGCCCTCGGCAAACTGTTGACAGCTGGCGCAAAACCCAAAGGTTCTAGCAGCGTTATACTCCCAACACTGCTGCGCATAGTCTGGTGTGGTCGTCCCACAGCCATCACCTAACAGCACACAGTCGTATCCATTGCTAAATGCATCAGTCAGGGTTCCACCCACGCACTGGTCGGTATTCACTCCTGTGAAGAACAAGGTCCTAATACCCTCTTTATCCAGAAACTCTTTGAGGGGTGTCGTGGCACCCCACATCCCGCTCATCCTGTTCTTATGGATCCAGACGTCAGGCCTACTCTCCAACTTGCTGCCTTCGACATACATGGCATCAAGTGGAGGGTAGAGCGCTGCGTTCCAAGAATCGCGCATGAGTAATTTACCCCCCTCTACGGTTTTCCCGTCTGGAAACTTGAGTACCCCACAGTCAGCACCGATACCACGGTAGAAAGACTGGTTTTCTTTGCCATGTCGATCCATGCTCACGCTTCCTTCTTGGTGTCCAAAAGCGTCGTCGGCTTTGAAATTTGCATCTTCCGGAATGGAGAAGAAACCAAATGCGCGTTTCACAGCTGGCGGCATCTCTTTGACTTCTTCCTCCGTAAGCCCCCAATTTACCCATACGACTCTGATGCCAGCCTTTCGTGCAGCTGGTATAGCGTACTTGACCAACTGTTCGCAGGCAATGTGACCAGGACCTTTTTGGCCGCGGCCGAAAGCTTCGGAGAGAAAGAAGTTTTGCATGTCAATGATGACAAGGGCGGATTTCGAAGGATCGACCGTGATGGCATCAGCTCGTGTCTGGATGGTGTATGTGAGCCCGGTAGTTGGTGACGAGTGCGTAGAGGGATGGGTGAGGTCAAAGCCATTCTTGGTAGAGTGGGACCAGAAGTTTGAAGGTGAGCCTATCAAGGCTTTTCGATGACTGTTGAGAGGGATAGTAGACGACATGACTGTGAGAACAGATGTTATGCTAGATTGAAGTGGTCAAAGATCGATTTTTGATGGTAGATTGTGCTTAATGTCTTCGTGAAGATTCAGAATGGTATGTGTTAAGTAGATAGGTGATCATACTGGCGATGAACATAAGTCTTCAAGTAGTCATCGGATGCTGTGGCCACTATCAGAGTGCCAGATAAGGAAGGCCAGTAGCTCACCTGCCGAGGTGGGGTAGGCCGGGGTAGATCCGGAGATAGTCGTTTTGTCGAGGATATGACCAAGATGTTTTCAACACACATGTGTATGTCTAGTGCATGGTACAAGATCGATCCGGGTTGGAGATCATTTGCGCAGAATCATCGAACAGTTGCGTAATTGTCTAATGGACACTTCTGATGAATGTAGCTTCTGAAACAATGCCAGGCTGGGCGTATGAGCGCGGCGAACACGCATGATACACTGGAAGAGAATGGAGTATACAGGACATGGTCTCCTACTGGTTGGATTGGCTGTTACCGGATTCCCGCGAGCCGCAACCTCGCAACTTGCACAAGTTGTGGTGCTTCTTCTTTGTAAAGCGCCGCGCTGTCAGAGTCGACTATCAGACGCAAATAGTCCCTGTATCCTTCTTCGTGACCAATAGACTTGTGATAGTCCGCAAGTTGTAACATGGAAGGTTTGTGTCCAACGACAGACGCCACATGTAGCCACTCTCGCGCAAGCTCCGCAGCGCTTCCGCGTCTCCAGGTCAGTAACCAGTTGAGCGCCTGTCGTATGCTACCGTTTTCTAAAATAGACGAGTTCGATGCTGCCACTTCTTGATAGAAGCCAGTGAGGTCCAGTATGGCTTGTCTGTGACCGGATGCTGCTGCTTTGCTAGTATACCGCAACCACTTTTCGCTTGTTTTCGGCTCATAGGCTGCGAGTTCGTAGTATGAAAGCGGATCATCACCTTCGAGAGCGCCTTTCTGGAAATATGACTGGGCTTCTGCGCGTACTTTTGGATCTTTGTCTGCTTTGAGTAGATAACCGAGCGCATTCCAGGGTGCTATAAGGGGAAATTGCATCGCATGCGTTGATGACCTTCCAGTCTGATCATTAAGAGTTGAAGGCTTGATGGCTTCTTGGTATGCTTTTATAGCCTCTTGCTTCTGTCCTGCTTGCTCAAGGAAGAGTCCTCTTAGAGTCAAAACTTCAACTACTAGACTTGGAGTCTTTTCCAAGGACTGCAAGTCAATCGTGTCGAGCAGCTGGCGGTATTGGGCGATATCTTTCTGAGGAAAGAGCCTTGCAATCTCTTGAGCGGGCCCGTTGCCAGAGCTGCCGAGGTAGACGGCAGTCAGGATGTGTACGATCGCGAGAGGATCCCCGGCTTGCGCACATCCTTGCAGAAGCATACCAGCGACGTTTTTATGCTCACTAGGAGGAAGTCGAGCTCTTATCATTGCATCGCTGATATCGGGTACCTTGTATGTGACGATCGCAAGAGATGTGATATCAATTGGTCGGACGTTGTATTCTGCTCATGTCAGTACCATCTATGGAGGTGAGTATGGACCGCGAACCTACTCTTGACTATCCGCAAAACGTTGTCACTATGGGAAATCGTTTTCATTTTCGCAACGAAGTCATCGTAGATACTCAGAGCAGTACGCGGCTCCATATTGAGTAGGCTTTGTTGTTTGCACATGGTGTAGAAGCCCAGTCGAGCGCGGGCATCAGCATCAACACGTGCTCTCGGATCCATTTTTCGGTTGATAGAATAATTCTGGGTTCGCATGCCTGTTGCAAGCCAATGCGAGGCCATCGGATATCTCGTAGCATTGTA